GGCAACTCACCAGGAAGTCTTCCCCTAAATCCCCTCTGCAGCTTTGGTCCATATCCTCTGGATGAAAAAGTGCAGGAGCAGCCAGCTACCTGTGCCTGCCTGTCTCACCCAAAACTTAAACCCTTCCCAAATTGAACGCCTGTTTACGACTTGGCCGGGAAGCAGCTGAGTAGGGCTAGCCGGCTCTGCCATTCCAGCTCCGGTCTTACTTTCCAGCTTTTTAGTCTTCGTAGCTCTGCGCTGGCTTGGTGCCACGTTTCCACTGTCTCTGGAGACTGCAGGTGACCACAAGACCCTGATTAGTATCTTTGATACTCGACTGTCCTGCTGCCTAAGAGGTCCCGTGGGGTTAAGTGGCACTAAAAACCAGGAGGCACATCAAAACTTAAAGTTCAGAAGCAGCCAAAGAGCCTGTGCGCTGGGGAGGGTGTGCCCTCGGGAACCCCGCCTTGGTGAGCCTGGAGAAGGAGAGAGGGCTTGCAGGAGTGTTTTGAGTTCCTCAGAGAACTTACAGGGATCTGCCTCATTTTCCTATATCAACACGTGCCTAGCCCCGAGGCCGTATTTGAACACCTTCAGAGAAAGGACTAAGGTCAAGGAAAATTCGCTCCCGAGTTTATGGAACCACTGTTAGCCGCCCTGTCCTCCTGCCAGGAAGAGTGAGTCCAGGGTAAGAGTGGCCCATAGCACTTCCTAGAAAAAGTCCTAAGAGGCGAAGAGTCTTGAGAAAAGCTGTCGATATATGGAGTGCTGTGAGCCAACATGCTGCCAGGCCCACAAGGCAGAGAGAGGAGCTCCGTGAGAGGTGACACGAAATCTGGAGGATGACAACCTCTGACCAAAGGGACGGAGGGGCCCCTGCAAAACAGGTGGCCAGAGGAGGATGGGTGGCGATCCCGTCCCAGATGTCTTCAGGAAGTAGAAAGAGCACCCTGAGACAATGTGGGTGTACTTGTTCGTGCTTGGACACAGGGACGTGGACCCGGGGGTCCGTTGGAAGGGTTCCAGGAGCTGGTACAGGCAGCCCCTGGAGGTAAGCAGCTTCCTGGGGTCTCTCCCATGAAAGAGGTGACTCCCGGAGCCCGGCCCTGCAGGTGCCCCTGAGGACAAGTTGCTGGTCCTGCAGCCCAGGCTGGAGCAGTTTCTGAAGGAGACACTCAGCCTTCTGCCGGGTGCTGGTCGGCATCTGGCCCACCCACCACCCACCCTCCCTCACTTCACGTGGTTATCCTCTCAATTAGGGAAAGGGTGTGGCCATGCACCCCAGAACGCCCCCAACCTTTCAGTGGCAACCATCTCTTGTCCTCTCTCCTACCTCAGCTGTCAACTGCTTGTTAAAAGTCCGAATGCTTGGTGATGCCCAGAGAGGTTGAGTGAAGTGTCTCAGATCACCCAGCAAGATGGGCTCAGCAACCCTCTGTGCCACAGTTGGCTTTTCCTTTCCACGCATCTCTCCCCAAGACCTGAGCCTCGGGTTTGGGACTAAGTTACTAGATAACAGAGCCCTAGCCTTTCAATTTGTACAGAGTCCCCCCCCCCTCCACCCCAAGCCAGCTCTGCTCCTCCCTGTGCTGCACCCCATTCTAACTTGTCCTGCAACCAAGAAAAGTTGGTTTGCTCCAAACCCCACTCCTTAGGCATCCTCCATCTGCCAGGCACATCACCATGCCAGTTAGTCATCACAGCAGGTTTGCTTGACTCCACTGAGTCAAGCCGAGGTGGGAAGAGGGAGGGAAAGGCCAAAAGTGGGGGATGGGGACCTGGCACTGAGTTTTCTGCTCAGAGAAAGCCCGCCTGTTGCTCCGCCATTTGCTCTCTTCCTGTCCTCTTCCTCTCCGGTGACTACTTCCCTGCCTATGGATAAATACCCAAATCAGCTAACCCCCACCCAAAACACTGCAAACCTGTGGAGGCTTCTTCAGGGCGGGGAACTTCCCTGCCAGGGCCTTAAAGACCGGATACCTATTCACTTAAGTTTGACAAATCCCAAGCCAAGAGACAAACAGGTGCCCAGGTGCTTCCTGCCACCTGCCATCCTGACCGGGTTAGGCCGGGTCCCCAAACGCCTTCCTTACCCCACACCTGGAACTCCCCCTGGGAAGAGGGCCTCTGCCCGGGGGACACAAAACAGTGTCTTCCCACCAAGGTTCTCCTTCCCTATGCATCCCTTCATCCACACCTCCTTGGAGTCCTCTCCCTCCATTTCCCATCCCGGTGCCTTGTCCTCATGGCTCCTGGGGAGCCCAGTGACGGTGGAGTGGGCAGGGGACCGGATCTTCCCTCTCCTCATTTGAGTCAGTCTGGGTCACTCCAGAGCCCTGTCTTCTCTTTCTAAAATTTGAAAAGAAAAGAGGCATTGTAGACGGGGCCTCCCTGCCCCCACCCACCCCACCTTGTACCTGGTCTTGCTCTGGGCATCCTGGCCACGCCCTGACCGACTGGGAAGAGCGGCTCTGTGTCTGCCGAGGCTGGTGGGGTCAAAGAGCTGAGAGGAGACGTGGGGACCCAGAGAAGGGTGCCTAGGAGAGAGGAATGTACTGGAAGTCTGTGGAGGGAGAAAAGGCTAGGGGTAGAATTAACAGATCAACAAATAAATGAACAAAGTCCTGCTTCTTTTAAAGGTCATAAGTCAGCTAACTATAGACTGTCACCAAGTCTCTCCTATATATAACTTCTCCAGCCCCAGCCAGCTGTCAGCCTCTCTTGGCCTGGAGCTGACTTATGTTCCAGCCTCCCAGGGCCCAGAGCACAGAGCCAGCTCAAAGGTTCCAGGTCCCCCCACCCCGCCACCAGCACTGCTCCCCTCCAAGCCCCGCACGTCTGGCTCTCTCAGATCTCCTCCTCTTCGTGATGGTCCCCACCACCACCCTGCTAGCCTAGATCCCGAGGACCGTCCTACTCCTATCCCGGTTGCCCAAGTCAGAATCCATCCCAGCTCCAACAGTCCCGGAGGCACAAAGACCCCACATAGGATAGACTTGGCCTTTCCTGTCCGTGCTGGGCTGTCACCTATTTTCCCCCAACAGCCTGCATCTCACCCCTGAGGCTGATCCTCTGCCTCCTTCTCCTGCAGAGAGAGACTCCCGTGAGCACGAGGAACCAACCACCTCCGAGATGGCTGAGGAGACCTACTCGCCCAAGATCTTCCGGCCCAAGCACACCCGCATCTCTGAGCTGAAGGCCGAGGCCGTGAAGAAGGACCGCAGAAAGAAGCTGACCCAGTCCAAGTTTGTGGGGGGCGCTGAGAACACTGCCCACCCCCGGGTCATCTCTGCACCTGAGATGAGACAGGAATCCGAGCAGGTGAGTCTCGAGGATTCTCTCCTAATCTCTGTCGGCATCCGCACCTGGCCACCGCTGCCACTCCCCTGACTTTTGACCTTCCCCTGCTTCTAAATGAGCATCCGTGGGCAGCAGGTGCTTTGGCTGGGCCTAGCTGAGGGCCTACCGCTCAGATCAGCTTGGGATTCAGGAGGATTTTCACAGCCTACGTTTATCAGGCCTCGGGGCTTGACCGAGGGACCCCGGGAGTAGAGGCGGTGCTCATTCAAGGAAGGTGCTGGGCTGCCACAGCAAACACACCAGGAGCTGTGACGTCACCTGGGCAGAGGCTGCACGTTCCCCTAGGGCATCTGCCGACGACCACCCCGGATGTAATCAGGGCAGAGCGGAAGAGCTGAGGGTGGGTGTTGTGGGAGGTAAGTGGGAGCATGTGTCTTCCTGTCTAGTCACACGCAGGCTCCTCCCAGAGGAGGAAAGATCTTAGGTAGCAAGTAATTGGAGCCACAGTCTCGACAGACCCTTCAGCCCCCATGCCCTCGGCCGCGCGCTCTGCGTATACAGGCGGTTTCTCCATTTGGGTGCCGCCGTGTCCCTCACCCCTGCTGTCCTCACACAGGGCCCCTGCCGCAGACACATGGAAGCTTCCCTGCAGGAGCTCAAAGGTAGCCCACGCATGGTGCCCCGTGCCGTCTACCTGCCCAATTGTGACCGCAAAGGATTCTACAAGAGGAAGCAGGTACGCCACCCGCCCCGCCCCTGCTCCCAGGTTCAGAGGGCTCCTGAAATGGCACTTGCCAGAAATTTTTTTTACCTCTGAATGCTTAAGATTTCCGTCATTAACAATAGTGTTTCCTGAGCCTCCGGTCTCCGTGCAGGTAGCCCGGTCGTCGGGCTCCCCGTTCCCTCCTGTGCTATGATCTACTTAAGTTTTAATGATCCACCTTGTTTCCATGAATCCATTTAAAAAGGAAGCTTTATATCACTATGTCATATCGCACGTTGTACCTACTATTTTCTGACAACCCCACACACAGAAATACATATGTCCAGCAGATGATGACTTCAAAACATATTTTCAGCAGGTATCCCTCCCCCCACCCCGAGATAATTTACATCCCATTCGCAGCCAGCCTGCCCTTTGGGCAACGCGGACTATTGAGCCTATTCAAGTGGTACCCATTACCTCAGGCCGGTGGTTCTCACACTTCCTGGGAAGTGGCTTATTAAAACACCAATTGCTGACCAGAGTTTTCCGGGATGGAACTCTGGGAATTTTGCATTGCTAACACGTTCCCTCCCAGGTGACTGACACTGATGGTCCACAAGGGTCAGGGGTCAAGAGCCAGGTGGCCTTGGGTCAATTCTTGGCTCTCCCACTTATGAGCTGTGTCCCCCTTACCTAGTCATTTAATGTCTCTGCCTCCAGCTTCTCGTGCAAAATGATGACTGCACCCATTGTCCTTACGCAGTTAGGAGGGATAATGGACTCTTCTTTGTGAAACCCTTAGAACAGTACCTTCTATGTAGTAAGTGTTCAGCAGTTCAGTCTGCTACATGATGAAGCTGTGCAAGTGATGCCCGGTACCATCACCACCACCGCCTTCGTCATCATGTAGCCGCCTGGAGAACACCGCGGCGGAGGACCCTGAATGGGTGACATAAAAAAGAGCTTGTAAGAGCTAATCAAGGGCCGACTGTCTAAGTTAGCATCTTCCCTGGGGCCATCCCCGTGCAGGGGGCTTACTGGATCCCCACGGCTGAGGTCGGGGTTGAGAATCTGTCTGGGGGCAGGGAAGACAAGGGCCAGACAGGAGCAGAGCCTCCGGGGACAGCCACCCTCACTGCCTGTCGCTCTCCCCACCCCAGTGCAAGCCTTCCCGCGGCCGCAAACGTGGCATCTGCTGGTGCGTGGACAAGTACGGGATGAAGCTGCCAGGCATGGAGTATGTCGATGGGGACTTTCAGTGCCACACCTTCGACAGCAGCAACGTTGAGTGATGCGTCCCCTCCCCATCCTTCCCTCGCCCCGTCCCACCCCCAGCCCCGACTCAAGCCAGCACCTCCCTCCACCCCAGGACGCCACTCATTTCATCTCATTTAAGGGAAAAAAAAATACATATATCTATCTATTTGAGGAAACTGAGGACCTCGGAATCTCTAGCAAGGTCTCAACTTTCAAACCGGCAACAGCGGAGATGCAAAAAGCTAAGAGACCCCCCCCCCCAACCTTTGAAAATGGTTTTCTTTTTGAAGCAAGTTGAATGGACAGGGAGGGGAAGGGAGGAGGAACATGAGAGAGAAAGGAAGAAAGTGCACGTGTAGAAGAGAGGGGGAGACAAACCGAGTTTGGAAAAAGGAAAGAAGAATGTGGGCAGGAAGGAAAGATCACCGGGACCATGGCTGGATCCACCTGTCATATCCAGCCCTGGCCTGAGTTGGGAGACGTTTGGGCACTAGAAGGTATGGCCCAAGGTGTGGCATTCGATGACACCCTTGGGGGTTTTCCCGACTGGATTGGATGCAGGGGGAGAAAGGAAAAGACAGAAGGGGTCAGTGCCTCTCCTGGATCTGTCTCCACCTCCAGCCAGCGAGCTGCATGGCTCCCACCCGCCCCTCCTCCCCTCTCACCCGGCAGAGGGTTCTCCCTCCCCAAAACTTCTAAAAACTAAAATGCATTCCATTCTTCTCCAAACAGAGCAAATGAATAACCGAGTGTCATTAGAGAGATAGATTTTTCCTAAGCAGATACATAAAGATTGTGTGTACGTCTTTCACTCCCCGTGCAGACGTTTAGAACCCAGTACACACGCCCAGAGTGGACAGACTTGCCCTTCCAGGGTGACTAGATCATGCCGACACGCACGGTGATTTCAGCCCCTCATTGCACTCAATTCACCATTAGCACGGCCTCTGTGGGGGAGGATAGGCTGAAAACGATGTGGCCTCGTATTTATCTACGAGGCTCCATGTAGTGATCTATAAGGCATATAAATCTATTCTCTTTCTTTTTTTTTCTTCTTTCCTTTCTTTCAAAGGTTTGCATTAACTTTTCAAAGGAGTTCCTCTGGGGGCACTGAGGAACTTCCTCATTTGGGGAAAAACCAAGAAAACCCAAATTCTTCTAACACAACCCTTAACTCTGGTTTGGCCAGCCTCCCTCGAGGGGCAAACACAACCTTGGGCGGGCCACGGTGTTGGATTTTTTCACGATTCCCCGTACGCGTGTGTGGGTGTCCATAGGTACCACCGAGCCAGGTAGATGAGGGCTCTCGATGGTGCGTTGCCCCTGAGTGCACCACCCCCCTCCCCCCCCCCCCCCCCCCCCCCCCAGCACATCCTTTGGACCCTCCAGAAGTAACCGGCTCTGGGCCCTGCACCAGTCGCGCACACCAGCTCCAAGTTGGACCCCCTGGTCCTGCCCAGCCTTTTCATTTCATCCGGGCAGAGCCTGCATTTTGAAAGCCTCTCTGGGCCTTCACGCTGGCAGAGCGGGAGAGAGACTGAAGTGAGAGGTGGCAGCAGGGGTGCTGGAAGTGAACCGGTTTAAATACAGGGAAACAGTAAAAGTGATTGCATTGCGCAGGCCCACGTAGAGGGCTGGGGGCTGGAGGGACGGGGGTAGTGGGCAGGGGGACTGCCCTGTTTTAGCTTTGGAGCAAAGCAACAGAAAGGAGGACAGAGCCAAGAGAAGCCTCCCTGGCTCCCCACCCTCTACACCCTTTGGGATTCGAGAGGAAAGAAAGAGGAAGATGGGGGCACAGTTTCTCAGAGAGAAATGAGCTTAATCCAGGCCTGAGGGCCAGTAAAGTGGGCAACTTTAGGCAGGTTCTAGACCCTCGCTGCTGGACAGGAGCAAGGATCGGCAGAGACTGGCTGTGCTTTTGAAGGGACAAGACCATGCGCTCACGTGGCTACCTTCAACCCGCAAGGAGGGACTGAGGCCAGAGTCTTTCGAGCTCTCCACCCACACGGGCCGGTGCAGGCTTTGTCCTCGGTGTGGAGGATGGACGAGAGGCCAGGACGACCAGGAAATGGATGCCCCAAGGGTGCTGTCATTTGGCAGCCAGATTTTGAACCAGGAAAATTCCCATTCCTGTTGACTTCCTCCACGGATTGGCAGCCGTGGGGCTGTCCTCTGAGGCTCAAGAAGACCTGCCAGGAAAGGGCAGGAAACTGGCAAAGAAGACCCCTTCTTGCCGTGAACACAGCTCTCTCCACTCTCTCCCGATGGCGTGGCACCATGGAGGCCACCCCAACACCGAACTTGGGGCAGTGAAGAGGGACAGCAGAGAAGCAGATAGATTTCAGCTGGTGGGAAACTTGTAGCTATGGAACTCGGGGAGGGGGGGGTCTCCTGCCCCCCCAACTGGACAGGTGGCTGGGACAGGAAAGATGGTCGATTGTCATAGGACAGAGGGCCCTACGGGGATGGCAGCCGTGAGGACTCACTTGACCTGCTGCGTCCGTGCGCCCCATCTCTCTGCACAACTGTCCCCAAGCCCCCGACTCACGTTTCTGTGTCTTAGGCCAGTATTGTAAACCTTTCCCACCTCATTCTTCTGTCTGCCCTTTCTTTCTGTGGATCTTGAGCAGTCTTCTAACTGGGATCTGCCAAGTGGATACTGGGGTGCCGTTGCCCCTAAGAAAAGACTGAGCCAGGGATTGCATACCCCTTCCCACACCCCTCCCAAGACCTGGACCTGGTTCCTGAGAGGGGCCCCCTCTTGTCCCCCTGCTGTTTACTGGACTCTGAACGGGCGTCTGCCCCTGATCTCGGCTCTTTGCTGTCGGCCACCCACAGGTGGGGGAGGATGGTCTGGTTTCACTCCACCAGCGTCTTCGGGTTTCTGCCGTTCAGGCCGCCTCACCCGAACCTGTGAGGCCAGTGCTTTTGCAGAGGGTGACTCTGGTCGGCTGGCCACTCCCCGGAGGATGCTGGACCTTCGTGACGGATGAGAGTGACCTCCCAGGATGAGAGGGAGGCCTGGCCTGCAAAGGCAGTCATCGAGGAAGATGTCCCCATCGAGGAGCGTGCCCGGGGCAGGGCAGGAGGAGAGGCAGGTGGGCAACGCCACCAGCTGGGATCCTGAGCAGGAATCTTCTTGACTCCAGGCTGCCTGACGGCTGCTGTTTATCCACCTAGAGGCCTTAGGCTCCGGGTTTTCTGTGGCCTCAAGACTCAGTGTTGCCCCCGCCCCACCCACCCACCCAACAGCGGGCCTCTTCCCATCCCCCTCTGACTCATGCCTCACTCTAGCAGCGAGAGGATATCCGTCATTTCCACTGGTTCCCGCTGACTGAGGGAGGCCTAGCCAGGACTGAGCCTCCTTCCCCCAGAGCTTCCCCACCCACCTGAGCAAAGCAGGGCATCTGGGACGGAAGAGACTCGAAAGTTTCTCAGACAGCCAGGCCTGGACAGGCAGGCCTGGAGACATTCAACTCCCCACAGGGGAGGACGGGAGGCCCAGGAGGCCATGGGGTCTACCTCCTGTCTCCTCACCCATTTCCCACCCCCCCCCAACACACAC